CATAGTTATCAAATTTGCAGACAACACCAAATTAGGAGTAGCAGCTAAGTCCCCATTTAGACAGGAGATCTGGAACCCTCCATTTTGATGCTAGGCAGCTAACTGTATGTGTGTCCCATTGGGCTGCCTGGTTCATCCACTGCTGCCATCATTTGCTTGCTCTGATGACTGAACAAGGCACCTGGCCATGTGGCCATTGCTGGGTGCCTTGTTCTGATCCTAGAGCAACAGCAGCTGCTTTATGCAGTAATGGATAACTCAACAGCAGTGGTGGATAACTTGGGCAGCTCAGCAGTACATGCATGCAGTCAACCACTCAGCTTCAGAATAGACAACTTTGCAATGGAGGAGGAGCAGAGCTGGTAATTGCTTGGGGGAAAAATGCTTGGAACCACAAGTTTTTTGGATTTTGGAGTAGTTATTTTTGTTTGTTTCTTTGGATTTTGGAATATCTGTATTTGCATACATGTACATAATGAGATATCTTGGAGATGGGAGCCAAGCTGAAACACAGAATTGATTTATGTTTCATATGCATTTTATACACCTAACTGGAAGGTAATTTTATCGGTTATTTTTAAAATAATCTTGTGCATGAAACAAAGTGTTTGTACACTGAACCATCAGAAAGCAAAGGTGCCACATTGTCAGCAACCTAGGTAAAAAGTTTTGGATTTTGGAGTAGTTCAGATTTCAGAATTCTTGTATAGAGATTCAACATGTATTTGTACTGTTGTAGTCAACTGCCATTAAGTTGACTTTAACTTATGGTGACTCTCTAAATGAAGGACCTCCAAGCCATCTTGTCATCAACAGCCCTGCCCAGGTCTTGCAAACTCAGGGCAGCCATTGTGGCTTCCTTGATGAAGTCTATCCACCTGTAGACCTGCTTCTTTCCAACTCAGGGATAAAATTAACAGTTTTGTCCTAGAATTGGTTTGGGTGGTCCAAACGTCTTAACTTTTAAGCTCTTTATAGGATCACACCAGTTACCTGTTTGTTTCTGTAGAGCTGTGTGCATAGCTGGTCACAAGTCCCAACATCATCTTGAGGGGTTGCCTCCAAACTGCAGAAACCATCTGCCCCAAGAATGAGAGAGAATGAGAAGTCAAAGAGGATAGAAAGAGAACCTTGGACTTCCAACATTGCTCCCAACATTGCAACCTCACAACAGAGAAATATACAGAAGCCAGAATTGTGTTGGTGCTCAGTGGTAATGCTTGTATTTCTTGCAGGGTTATGCACCAGTAAAGGCCAGCATGGTGTAGTGGTTAAAGTTCTGGATTAGGATGCCAGTAGAGCATCCCTACTCAGCCAGGGAAACCCAATGGGTGATGTTAGGCAAGTCACACTCTCTCAGAGAGACCATGGTAAATGCCCTCTGAACAAATTTGGCCAAAACAACTTCATTATAGGGTCACCACAAGTTACAGTCAACTTGAAGGTAGAGCCAGGTTTGAGTTTTGGAGCAGGACTGGTAATGCCAGGGTTCAAATTCTCACTCAGCTATGGAAAGCTACTGGGTGACCTTAGCGCTCTCATGGGTTAATAGATACAGCCCTTCAAATAATCTAGACCCAAGCCAGCCTGGGGGTGAGGGGGGCTAGGAGATTGGGGTTTCCCCCCATGCTTTAGGCCAATGAGGGGGGCAACTTATGACCCATCGGCTACATTTTTCCCACTCTTTTCCAAAAGGAGCAATTTAATGGATTCGAAATTCTTAGAACAAACTACACACAGGTTTGTCCTGAGCTGGAACAAGGAATCTTTCGGCATGGCTGTGAAAAATTGAGAACTTGGAAGTTAAGAAGGATCAGCTCTGGTTAATACTTTGATGGGAGACTGTCAATGAATCCCAGGTATTGGAAGCTATATTTCAGAAGAAGGAACTGGCAAAACCATCTCTGAGGACTCCTTGCCTAAGAAAACCCTGGGTCAGGGATAATCAGAATTTGGATGGGAGACAGCCAATGAATTCCAGGCTCTGTTTCAGAGGAAGGAACTGGCAAAACCACCTCTGAGGATTC